CTATCTATCTATCTATCTATCTATCTATCTATCTATCTATCTATCTATCTATCTATCTATCTATCTATCTATCTATCTATCTATCTGCACTGTTGTTATTCTGGTTGTTGGTCATGTAATAAAAAGCATATTGTAAGAAAACGTGTATTTATTTTATGAAAATTTATCCCATGTACACTGATGAATGATTCGTTTACATTAATGTGTGAGCAACTCAACATTTCTTCAAGCTTAATTTGATAAACTGAGTTCACAATACTTTTACAAATCTAAACCATTCCAGTCTTTTCCCTCTAAACGGCTCACATTTCACTCATCAAATGGTTCAAGATCCCATTAAAATCAAACCAATCAGTGAAAAACTAAAAGCAGGTGTGATTAATCTACAGTATGAACACAACATGACATTTCTCATTACAATGTTGTTCAACAAACATGTAAAATGTTTTTCACTTGTTTTATTCATGGACCTCAATGTTAAATATAAAGGCCCAGCTTTCCTTGGAGAAATGCATAACACCCGCCACCATTCATGTCAGAGTTTTCATTCAGTTTATGCTGAAAAGAGACAGTTTCATCCAAATTTTAGTTAGAAAAGGATACGCAGAGGATACTTGTAGAAAGCMGGTGAAACTTTCAGAAATGGTGTTTTAGGGAAAACTGTGATCACAAATTAAACTGTTATTTGCAAGGCTTCATGGGAAGAATCTTTTTTTTCAGTTTAAATCAAACTTTATTTAAACAAATTAAAAATACAAGCATAAATAACTATGACAACATGTATTAAAAGTCATTTAACAGACAGAATATAAACAGGTAAACAGGTAGGAAAAATGTCACCTGATTAAATGAATGAATACAACAAAACTAACACCAGAAGACAAATTTAAATCACAAAGCAGCAGTTTGTAATGTAGATAAACAGGTTTAGATTTTAACACGTTGAAGTTGRCTAACATATTTTTATTTTGTGTAAATTCAAGAATCACGTTTAAAACCCAGCTGTCAGCCTTCAGCACAGTTTAACTGTTGATTCACAGTGATGGACGTGAAGGACAGTCTCTGGTTCCCTGAAACTAAAAGTATGGTTGATAAGAAACAATTTRACTCTGGAAGAAGATGAATCTGTGTCTGCTGCATCCACACGTGTGTTTCATGCGTGCACTGCTGGTGAAATCATWTTTATATTATTTCATATTTATGAAATAAAAAAGAATCTACATCACAAAATGTTTAAAATTGAAAAATGGCTTCCATGTTTTGCTTAGCAGATCTGTGCTGCTGTGTTACTTCAATGGAAGRGTTAGTTAACTGTGGAAACAAACATTTTTAAAATGTCAGAAACTTCCAGTCCTCTGCTGATCTAGGCACTGCCATAAGTCTAATAACGTCTGCACCWGCACAGAAAAACAAGTTCGGACCGTGTTGGRTTCCATCCTTGAGCAGAATTAACACTAAATGACAAGAATAAGGTTTTAATGAACCAGAAGGGAATTATTTAAACTAAAATAAAACTAAAGATATTTGTCNCAAGTGGACATTAGAAAGTGTCTTGCTGTCTTTCTGAATAAGACTGTGTCCCTGAAGCTATCTGAGGTGGAAGTAGCTGAGAGTCATGTACAGAACATTCTCTGAGCGTGACGTCTCCTGATGTCATATGAGATCCATCAGGACCTTATTTTACAGTTTTGACTAAAACAACTTCCATCATTTCTCAACACAAGATGATCTGAGTCTAAAAGTCTGACATGAAAGGTGGCGGGCCATCAGCATTATTTCAAGGACTGTTAGGCCTTTAATTGTGTTGAGGCTCAGAGGAGCTGAAGTGTACCTCATTTGTCTGGACAGGAGAGGACAAACAGATGTTCAGCAGACAAACATCTGGCTCCTGATCTGAGGTCAGTCTTAAAAACATGGGTTCTGTTGAGTTCTGTCCACAGAAGCTGCTGCACAGCTCAGGTCCAGAAGTTCCTCTCAGCTGCAGGAGCTTCTAACGGCCCTTAAAGCCCCACAAACATGAAGAGGAGAGAAGAAGAAGATGTTTGTCTGAACTGCTTCAATCAGACGTGTGGGAGAAGCTCAGGTGTTTGCAGAGTTCCTGCTGAAGTCCTAAGGAGTCTGGATCCATGGTTCAGTTTCTTTAGCTGCTTTTCTCTGCAGAAACGCCATAAATATATTTCTGATTTGTAAAAATGTAGAGTGAACGCTGAATGAGTCTGATGAAAGAGCTGAAAATGAGCTGAATTAGAACACTAGCTGAAAGATAAGAAATCAGAGTACTAGCTAAAAGCTAAAAGAAGCAGAAATTTAGCTGAAAGCTAAAAAAGCGGAACAGTAGCTAAT